TTTACGACATTTAGGGCAAGAAAGCACTTCATTGTTTTTCACAACATCTTCCATGTACTCAACACGACCTAAAGCATCTTTTAGTTTCATCTTATTCAAATTACACGTTGAGCAATCCAAAACATCATGAGGTTGTTTTAACTTTTTAGCAGAAATCATGCTAAACATCAAACTAGCATGAAAAGCAATTTGATATTTTTGCAACAACTTTTTGGTTAAAAACAACTCATCCAAAGTGCGTGTGTGCAAAGCAAAACTACAAGCAAGAGAAGATTTATTTTTCAAATCATGTGCAACATTAACATCTCTAATTTTTGAAATCTCATTCATTAAAACCTCACAATTTTCACAATCATCATCATTAGGAATAAAAGATTTTAACCTATCAATTTCAGATTTAAGAGATTCAATGATAAATTCTTGTTTTTTATACATCTTCTCACACTTTTTATTTTTTGCACTCAGAATATTAATAGCTTCCTCAAAAGCACTCACCTCATTATCTTCATACTCTGTGTCAGATTCACCACGCGCCATGAAGCAAATATCGGAGACGTTCTTTCCCTTGTCATCATCTCCACTTTCACCATCTACATCACTTAGTGGCTCGAAGGCGGCGCAAACTTGTTGAAAAGCCTTCCTAAGATTCTCCGTCTTCCTCCCTTGGATAGAACCCTTCGACTTGTTGTTGTTGGGCTTGTTGTTTGTTGGTCTTCTCACCATCTTTGTCTTCTCTTTTGCCTCTCCCAAGCTTAGGACAATGCGAACGAAGATGATCAATTGAACCATATTCAAAGCAACGATTTGAACCACCTCTTTTCCTGTTCCTGGCATTATTCATAGCTCGAGCAATACGGTTAGCAACCAAAGCCAAATCCTCCTCCTCGATTTGTTCGAGTTGATCATCGGATGTGGCATTAAAAACAGCAAGAAAAGACGACTTAGATGAAGAAGCATCAACATCCAAAGAAGAAGAAGAAGAAACCAAAGCACTTGATTTAGAATCAACTTTGCGAGAAAGAACATTCATCTCATGTGTTTTCAATTTAGTATAAAGTGAATCCAAAGTCAAAGTAGACATGTTAACAGACTCCTGAATAGATGTAACTTTCATCTCCCAAATAGACATGTCGAGACCATTCAAAAAGTGACGAGAAATCTCAAATTGTGGATAATTAGCATCATAAGAAGAATCAACAGATCTAAGATCACTTAAAATTTTATTAAACCTAGAAAGATAGTCATCCAAAGCTTCTTCAGGTTTCATCTCAAATTTAATGTACTCCTTTTTAAAAAGATCTCGACGAAGCTCTTTAATGTTATTTGTTCCTTGATGAAAATTACTCAAAGCAACCCAAATCTCATGAGCAGTTTGAAGATGAGCAACACGATCATAATCAGAACGAGAAATACCACTCAAAAGAATATTGCGAGCTTTGCAATTTTCTTCAAAAGCAGTTTTTCAGCAGCAGTATTAATAGCTTCAGGAATCACATAAGCATGAGAAACTTTTCTCCAAATATCATAATCTTCAGCCATAATATAAGATTGCATCCTACTACACCAATGAGAAAAATCCGTTCCATCGAAAACATGAGGCTTAGTTGAAAACCTAGCGGGAGTAGCCATGGCAAAAACTCTAGATCGATAAAAATCCAAAGAAGAAAACAAAGCTCTGATACCACTTGTAGGATCGAATCACAAGAACCAAACCAACCAGAGGAGGAGTGAATGGTTGGTATACCCAAAAACCGAAAACTTTTAGCGGAAATAAAAGTTACCCTCAATTTCGATGAGATCAGTCTGACCGACGTAGATTAGCCAGTTTGACCGAAGCGTAGCCGTTGGTCTGACCGGTGTTGATCTACCGGTCTAACCGTCGAGATCGCCTGCCGCTTGCTGTCGTCGCCGCCGGTCTGACCGCCGTGCTCCCGCCGGTCTGACCGCCGTTTGCTGCCGGTCTGACCGCCGGTAGATCACCGGTTAGACCGCCGAAACCTGGTAAACACAAATCGAAGAACTCTTAAAGTGGATGACGACTTTATTGATTCTCTCTGTGTTTACAAAGTGCACCAACAGCACTCCTTACAAAAATTTTGACTAAACTCGAAACCCTAACTCAAAACTCAACTCTATTGCTCTCTAAAGCGATACAGGGAAGCCTCACGCTCCCCCTCTATTTATACATGAGGTAGGCAGCCTAAAGCCACGAACCAAACTCATACTAGGAGTCCTAAACACCTTAGGAAACCCACTAGTACAAGAAAGAAACTTTACATAACCAATCGTACCAAATTTGGACTCATTCCAAATTTAACTCCGCATCCCATACGCACACAATAACTCCATCGTATGCCATATGAAATCTCCATCAACCACGTGCATCAACTCTTGCCTAAGTATCCCGCATGATCTTTGACCACCACGGACGTCGTCTTATTCCTAAGCCGACTCCGGTCCATCACCGCAAATACTCTCCCGAGACATCGAGTCACCTACACATGGAACAAACAAAGAAGCCATATTCCGAGACCAAGCTATCTCCAATTTGACTCATTAGCAACAAACTATAGTATTACATACGTATAGTATCCATCTAGAAGTCATAATCATGAAATAAACTCGGATATCCAAATAAACAACCCGAAACCGAAACCGACACAGTGTCGGCCGGCCAGACCGCGGGCTGGCCGGTCCGACCGCTCGATCACCGCCAGTCTGACCGGCTACCAGAGCCCGGTCTGACCGGTCACATAAAATGATAGAATCCTGCGATCACCTGTAAATCCAATCATCTCTAAAACCACTTCGTGAATAAATTCCAAATAACAAAACCAATAATCTCCAATGCCTAATTGTTCATCATAGAATAATAATCAAAAACACATTTGATTTTACAATCTACATATATACTAAGGTATTTCAAGTTTCGGTAGACTTTTGAACATGAGAGCTTCGGTTCATCAGTTGTAATATGGATTTATTCCATCCCAATCTGGACATTGTTATCACTTACCAGTTACCACAAAGGAAAACTTTCCTTCCTCAATGCATTCATTGAATCTGGACGAGATCCTATACTAATGCTTTGCACTTTTTACGCATCATACACAAATTATGTGATCCTTAGCTTTGGCGTCTCACTATCAGCAAAAAATTGTGTGAATGGTTTAGATCTATTAATCAAAACTCTAACGAATGGAAAGGTGTGGGGCCTAGCACCCTTCCTACAAAGACCCTGCAGTTATCGATAGTAGAAACGTGGAAGATCATTATTATAAAAAGAAGGTGCAGTCAGTATAATCGTCATTTAGCAGATGAAGCTCTTTTTCCTCCTTTTTTAGCTTTTCTGATGGAATATGAGCAATGTTAGTGCAATGAATGACCACGGATCGATCTAGTCGTGCAAAAATATAAATGATAAAGTTATTCATAATCATTGTATTAATAAAGTACCAAATTACCATTAATAATGAACGATTCAAATTATTTCTACTGTACCAGTAGCACACCGGAGCATTGCCAAATAAATATACCATAAAGTTTATACACTTTAAATATACAAACTACTCCTACACAAGTATGTTACACAACTATGTACATACAAATACGTTGTTTTTACTAAAAAATCAGCTAGCTATGCACATACAAATATGCTATGAAGCGAACTGCGCATGGTTTCGTTTGTTAGGGTCCTCAACTCATGTGGAAATGTGTGGCAGTCATAGTAAAAAAACCGGGCTGGGCCGGCAGTTGAACCGGGAAAATCGGAACCGGCGACCTTGGTGGCTCGGTTCAACAAAAAGACCGCCCCTGCAATCAAACCTGTAAAAAACAGTGAACCAGGCGGTTTTTATTAAAACCGATGAACTGGTAGAGGTTTTTTAAAAATCGAACCGATTTTTAATTTGTCCTAACAATATAGCATTATGAATCTATTATGTTACCACACTACATTTGTTTTTTTATGTTGTGGCCATATAATAATAGAAATACTAGTTTATTTATGCATATTTTCACCATTTTGTGATGATTCTATATTTAAAATAATGCAAATCAAATATAATATTAATAAAATAAAAAACCGGCGGTTTGACCGATGAACATGTGAACCGATGACCAGATCGGGGCGACCTTTGGTCCGTTTTTTTACTATGGTGGCAGTGAGTATGGTGTGTATGTATCCGACTTGTATTTTATGAAAAATAATAAGTTCTGTAAGAAACAAAAGTTATGAAGCAACCTCCTAATTTGAAAAGGGTAAATAAATTGTATGCACATAAATATACAATGCATTCACAGATCATAGAGATACGATCATTAATCGATTCAGTGGCAAATATACCAAAAAAAATCCCTACCTACAGAACTTTGCATATGGATAATGCATTGTAGGTGCTAGTCCAGATATACCATATTTATGAATGCACTAATTGGTTAACCCGCAAATACTACATACCCTGTTTTTTTTTTCTTTTTACTCTTTGATGAGAGAAATTGAGAACATTAATACAGTTTTCGAATTTCGATCTACATATCTGATCATTGTTTTTCAATCACACAATTTCAAAAAGAACATGCTTTTATAAATCTATAATTTCCGAGGACAAGGTAGCCGTGGTAACAACGACAAACCATGAAAATCAAAATAAAAAATATTAAAAAAAATCATTTTTTTGAAATTTTGTTTAAATTTGGTGAGATTACAGCCCGGGCACCGTTACTGCACCCGGGGTAACCGGCAAGCTCGGTATTATGAACCCTCAATCCTCAGTAATTCTGTATTAATTAATTATGATTTTTTTGGCGAAATGATGAGTCAAGATTATTATTTGGAGAAATGATGAATCAGAATTTTAAATACATTAAAAATGCTGATTCATCGTTGCGCAAAAACAAATCAGGTAACTAATTACCCGCATTGTATTTTGTATGTCAAATCCTAAAGATTTACAAAAGAATTAATTACCAGATCATTTTAAAATAAGCAGCGACATGACAGTGATACCAAACAAAATCCACTCCCGCTTCCGACACATCGCCAACCATGAGCGCCGCCGCCGCCGCCGCCGCCGCCGCCGCAATCCCCACCTCTCTCGGCCGCCTCTTCCACCTCCGCCCCACCCCGAACCCCTCCCGGAACCTTAGCGGCAGCTCAGCGCAACCCCTCCTCCGCCTCAGCTACCACCCACGCCTCACGCTCTCTCGCCGCATGGAGGCGCCGGCGGCGATCGCCGACTCCCACGGCGGCGGCGACCTGAGCGCGTCCGCGGTCGGCGCGGAGGCGCTGGGCGCCGTCGCCGCTCCGGATTTCGGTGGGTTTGTGGGGGGATTTTGTGGGATTTGGGGTTTTTGTTGTGGTTTTGGTGGAACTGATGAGTGGTGATTGCTTTTGGGGGTGTAGATGTGGAGATGAAGGAGCCTAGCGTGGCGACGATACTGACGAGCTTCGAGAACTCGTTCGATGGGTTCGGGTCTATGAGCACGCCGCTGTACCAGACGGCCACGTTTAAGCAGGTAATTAGGGATAGAAATGGTGGCAGCCAGTGAGGATTATACCTCCGCAACTGTTCTGTCAATGTAGTGATACACTTACAATTGCTGTTTTGTAATCGCATTGCTTGGCTGTACGGTTGCTTGGTATGCATGTTAATGCTTGTGATGAGGTTGCGGTAATGTCTTTTTTTTTTCGTGAACATGCAAAAAGGATTGCACGTCAATATATTAGACGAAGAGTTGCGGTAATGTCTGAATAGCTGATGATTCGTATTAGGTGGTGTGTAAGGATTCAACATTTTAGGATTCTAGTTTTCATTTTGAAATGTTTGGAGAAGGATATGGATAGTCAGTCAGGCAGTTATGGGGAAATTGGCAGCAGGCAACTGTTTTGAACTTATCTATTTTGGAAGACAAATCCAATTTCGTGGAAATGTGAATAGTTCAATGCACCTATTTGTTGATGTGTGCGAATGCTGGCCATACAAAATTGGTTTTCTGATTTTGTAGTTTTTTAGACCCTTTGAGTCCGTTGTAATTATCAAATTACGGCATCTTGATTTGTTTATTGTGCCATTTTGTCCTGGCTGTCCTTAAGCATACCACTGTAATGCAACTATTGAATGTTTGGATAGATAATCACATGAACTAGTGGATTTTCCCGCGCAAATTGCGCAGAGCTAGATTTCAGAAGCAAAATAGGATCCAATATGCAAATTTTAGCTTCTATTTCTATTGACACCATTGTACTTTATATACAATAGATTTTAAAGATAGAATTCTATTTCTTTCTATAGATATAATTGTTCTTAATACAATTATATCAATCAATCTCCACTGTTATGATTTGGACCCACCATGATCTAACAGTGTAAATATTTTTCTTTTTCTCCGTTTAATGTGTTAATTTTTGGGCCTCCAAAATGAACGTGGTGCTTTCTTTTTTATCTTTCTTGATAATGTAAATGATTCTTAATTGATCTAATGATCTCTATTCTCTAGTTATACAAGAATCATGACATGCAGCTAAGAATGATAAAAAGTGTGGGAATATCTGCAATTCAATTTGGTTGTGAAGAACTAAATTATACCTTTTAAGTTTATGGTGGTTCATAATTTGCACTTTGTCTTGTCTATTTCCAAGTACACTTACTCCTGCAAGTTAATTTGCAGCCTTCAGCAACCGATAATGGACCTTATGATTACACTAGAAGTGGTAACCCTACACGTGATGTTCTCCAAAGGTTAGGTCAATTTCTCATCCGTTTTTTACTCTGTGGTGAAAAAAAATGCATTTCTTGATTGTTTCATGATTTTGAGGACATATTCAGCCTTATGGCTAAGCTTGAGAAGGCGGATCAGGCATTCTGCTTCACCAGTGGGATGGCAGCACTAGCTGCAGTAACACACCTCCTTAAGTCTGGTATTGTTATGTTTTTTGCTGTTCCATATTTCTCATGTTCTTGCCATGGAATCCTGTATGCATTTGTGAATATAATTATTTGTCAAACCTATGATTCTCAGGACAAGAAATAGTTGCTGGAGAGGACATATATGGTGGCTCAGACCGTCTGCTCTCACAAGTTGCCCCGAGACATGGGATTGTAGTAAAGTTAGTGTTATCTCCATATTTTTAGTAAGATTATATTTTGTTGTTGCCTCTTTATTCTCACTTACAAGCGTTATATGATTTTTTTTCTTGTGACAGACGAATTGATACAACCAAAATTAGTGAGGTAACTTCTGCAATTGGGCCCTTGACTAAACTAGTATGGCTTGAAAGTCCCACCAATCCCCGTCTACAAATTACTGATATAAAGGTAAGATTTGGTCGATGTATGTGGTGGTCATGAAGCGTATATCTAGATTTTTATTTCATCCAGATGTTTTTCGCCTTGGTTTTAAGGTAGTATTCTTATTCCTTCCACTGTTTTTGTTGCTTCACAGAAAATAGCAGAGATAGCTCATTACCATGGTGCTCTTGTTTTAGTAGACAACAGCATCATGTCTCCTGTGCTCTCCCGTCCTCTAGAACTTGGAGCAGGTATATAATTGTATATTTACTTATCTAGAACAACAGGTTTCCATTTCAAGCATCCTTGCATCCCCATAGGACAACAGAGTTTCATCTATAATTCTCTTGTTCCTCTGCAGATATTGTTATGCACTCAGCAACCAAATTTATAGCTGGACATAGCGATCTTATGGCTGGAATTCTTGCGGTGAAGGGTGAAAGGTGTGCTCTAAATTCTTCATTCAACGATTATATTGACTCTTTTGCAATTTCTCCATTTCATCTATCCCATTTCATGTCTATAAGCTGTTCAATATTATGTTGGTGTCTGGTGGCAAACAGTACTTCAGTTCTCACTACCCTCCTTTTCTACTTTTCTTGAAATGGACCTCACTTTACACTTCTCCTATCTATTGCTGGTGGCATGAATAGGCATGAATATCCAGGGTGGATGCTAATGGGCAATTCCTTTCTCTTTTGTTTTTCTTGCTGAATACATCTACTCAATATTCCTTGAAGTTGGTAGACTTTTAAAAATTGAAGCTGATGGAAACTGTGATGTAATACCTGTTTCATTTGTCAGCAGCTTGGCTAAAGAGATTGCATTTCTACAAAATGCTGAAGGATCAGGTTTGGCACCATTTGATTGCTGGCTTTGTTTGAGAGGAATCAAAACCATGGCTTTGCGGGTGGAGAAGCAGCAGGTGTAACTTCTTTCATGTGCCATAACATGTATTTCAATATACATATCGAGTATCAACAAAATTTATAAGACTTTGTAGTCTGCCTTCTGTTAATTATATTTCTGTTTCCAAAATCCTTATGTTTACATATGCATTAATGTGATCTATTCAACTGAAGAGACGGACCACCCCTATATTATTGGCAGGCTAATGCTCAGAAGATTGCTGAATTTCTAGCTTCTCATCCAAGAGTAAAGAAAGTGAACTATGCAGGACTTCCTGATCATCCTGGACGATCTCTACACTATTCCCAGGTTGTTTTTTGGAGTAGTTTTCAAATTGCCTTACATTAAGTGGCTTTAGATAGTTATCTATTTAGGATATTTCCTTGGATTGACATCTTGGAACTGGATTCAGAACATCCTAATAACTTTTGATTGTAACATTTCCCTTTCCTTTTGCAGGCAAAGGGAGCGGGTTCAGTTCTCAGTTTCCTAACTGGTTCATTAGCTCTCTCAAAACATGTTGTTGAGACCACAAAGTACTTCAATGTAACAGTTAGCTTTGGTGAGCATTCAGACAAACCCATATTTCTGCTTCTCTCAATGTTCTGCTGTCATACATCATCAGGAGTCATTGTTTTTAAGAAACCATGATGAAACTGCGCCAATATAACCGATCCAGTCATTTCTTATCAAAGTTTTCAGTTCCTGCTTGCTAATCCAAATTAAAACTAAATGCAGGAAGTGTGAAATCGCTCATTAGCCTGCCATGCTTCATGTCACACGCCAGCATCCCTTCTGCGGTTCGCGAGGAGCGCGGCCTGACAGACGATCTAGTCAGGATATCGGTTGGAATTGAGGATGCCGACGACCTCATAGCGGATCTTGATCATGCTCTCCGGTCTGGTCCAGCTTAGAGCCTGTGAATTCTGTGCCCTTCCTGTTCGTTAGGGATGTAGATGTGGTCATGTGGGTGCTATCTGTGTGGGTGATTGATTCATTGGTCAACTCAATAAGCTGCTGTGTCATCGAGGGAATAAAGACAATCTATCCCAAATTTTTTAACACCATATGGTGACCAACTGACCATGATATGGTCTTAATCAATTGATATTTATAGAAGGTTTCTTTGAACTGCAATTTTGCAACCACTGACAGTGATGCAAGGATTGAAAGAACAGTGTTTGTACATACCATTGGATGTTAGCCTCTTACCTTGCACGCAACTTGTTTGTCTACATTGCATATTTGCATGTGAGCTTTGGTCAACCTTGTTGAGTTGTTTGTGAGGCAACAAGGGATTTCACAAATATGTTAACAATCCTAAGAAGTGAGAACTCTAATGCTAGGTTTGGAATACAAGAACTATGCAGAAATTCATAGGGAACTGACTGTAATTCCCACGCGAATCAATGCCAAGTTCCAAGTGGTAAGGTGTCTTAGGTGACCAAGTTTATGAAAAAAGATAGCAACATTCTAAACATATTCAATAGTAGGTATAATTAAATTAATTTGGTGTTTTTCTATAAACTTGGTTAAACTTGAGGATGTTTAACTCAAGACAAAAACAAAACACCTTACATTTTAAAAATGATTTCGAAAAACTAATATAATTCTTTTTCCCAGTGAACAATCATGCTACCAAACCGCATCTGCACAGTTAGGTCTACCAGTATCGTTTATCAAGGTCTTCAGAGTTCACATCTACGATTTGGTTGCTTGCATTCTCGCCATGGTAGAGATTATAATTCGCTCTTCTGAAATTTACTCAAAAAATCGCTGTGTAATTGGGCCGGGCCCAAGAGGCCAAGTTTGTGATTGGGCCAAAGCCCAATACCCCAACACACGACGACTTCTATCCATCCTATATACCGAACCCTAGCTGACGAACAATCCAGAAGCCCATCGATCGATCGGCGTGTAGAGGTGATCGGAGGCGAGCGCACCGGAGCACACCACCGAGGCGGCGGCGGCGGCGGCGAGGGAGGGAGAGGAAGATGGGGAAGACGCCGGTGCGGATGAAGGCGGTGGTGTACGCGCTGTCGCCGTTCCAGCAGAAGGTGATGCCGGGGCTGTGGAAGGACATCACCACCAAGATCCACCACAAGGTCTCCGAGAACTGGATCTCCGCCACGCTCCTCCTCGCCCCCATCGTCGGCACCTACGAGTACGCCTCCCCCATCCTCTTCCCTCCACTCCCCCCTCCTCTCGCGCGCATGCGGTTTCGGCGGATCTGGGCGGATCTAGGGTTGTTAGGCATGGTTAGCTTCGGTGGCTCTGGTTGGATCGGTCTTCTCGTTGCGGTTTCGGTTGATTCGTTAGGTCTGCGATGCGGGGATGAGTTTCTCTGTATTTGCTCCCATTTCGTCGGAATTATTGTGCAGATTTCGCGTGAATTGATGCGTGTCAACGTTGCATCGGGTTGTCATTTGACTCGGGAAACGCGTGCCCCGTCGATCCAATTAGGTTAGGCAGAATTTGGAGCAGTGGACTCGCTGCAAATTATTTGCTGTGAGGTTATATTTGTATTTGTTCTCACAACGATTTTGCTGTTTCAATCGAGAGTTCCAGACCCAAATTGATTTGGTATTCTGTATGGTCATGATGCTGATCCAATCATGTTAGCTAAGTACTTCTCTTGTACTGTATTATTTAGTTGAATTTGCCTCTAATATTGATTGGCTTTGTTACTGTTTCCAAACTGAATGTTTTGAGCGCCACATATAGCTTTTGTACTCACATGTCTCCTGGAGAATCTATGCCCAAGCTTGAGATATGCAAAACTAGATTATGTCTTCGGATGAATGCCTGAATGATCAGTTAGCCTATTATACTATTTTTTTCCAACATGGATTTTTCAGTGATTTAGCTTTATGTGAACTTGTTAAACTGCATGTTACAGCTTGTTGGCGTTGTGAGCTCACTATGTGTCGAAGCCTGAAGAAATACCATCTGAATGTTGTTTGTTTACCTTGTACCATAGGATTTTTGGGAAGTTGTCTTAAGTAGATGCAATATGCTATGTTTTGACCATTGATGCAGCTTATCATATAGTCTCCATGGTTCTTAGTACTGATGAGTTACCTTTTTTTTTTTTTTGCCTGGCAGTTATAGGCATGCTTGTTTTTCCTAATATCAGGAAACCCTCACCTCGGATTGTGAATTATTGAAAACAATGAGCCTAACGATTGAAATGTTTTTTGAGAACTTGAATTGAAAAGAGGAGTTGGGTTGGCAGGGCTGGCCTCTTAAGTTCCTAGTGCTGCCTAGGTACTCCAAGAGATTAGCAACATATTACATGCTAAACAATATAGCACTAAAATAGTAACACAAGAGCACTCTAGCCGCCTATTGCACCATCTAATTGCTAAACACGGTGGCTACCTGGCGCCTGCTAACTTTTAGAACACTGAGTCGCTGACAGCATTCACTCTTTTTGCCTTTCGTGAGGGAAATGCAAGTAGGCCTTCTTTTCAATCCAAGGATGGAGGAACATGGTGGAGTGTGTATACTGCTGGTTCACGTTGTAAACAATTGATGACTTCCTTTTGTGTTTCTTTGTGTGCAGTAACACTGTTTCCTTGACATTGATGACTATCAGTTTTCTTGACAGCATCACAAACAATATAACCTGGTCTATTTTGATGGCTATGCAGGTACGCAATGTACTACAAGGAGCAGGAGAAGCTATCCCACAGATACTAAATGTGAAGCATGCAGAGATTGCCACAACTTTTGGAATTTTTATGATCTAAAATTATCCAAGAATGATATAACATTTTTGGTTCAGTTATAGTTGTCCATGTACTGTTTTCCATCGTTCCATGCATCTCCAGTATGTATGACTTGCAAACTTATTTTTGCGGCTTGCTACATATGGTGGCATTCCCTGTCACTGAAGCAATTGTTTAATAAAGCAAATTAACTGTTTATCCGGATGTTTGACTCATCTGTTAGGTGCACAACATATCTGCTGCCATCTCATTATCAAAGTTAGGAAAAGTTATATTTGTTTATGTCAGGAAATAGCTTTCTATGAGGAACAATTGATTCGCTGAGCAATTCTAGAGTTGTTCGCTCTGTTTTCAGGTCTCGGTGTGAGGTTCATTTTTGCATTTCACGTGCGGTTAATGTGCTTTTGGTGTGTCAAATCTCGTCACTAGTTTATCTTAAAACAAACATCATTTTTTTTTTGTCCATCTGCTTGATCTCTCCTGGAGGCTGGAGCTTCGTTATCTTCATCATGGGGAAATTTCTGTTGCTGCCTCGTTTATTCTCTTGGGGAATAAGTTCATCTAAGGTCCCTTAACTTGTCAACGAATCCGATTTTCGTCCTTCAACCACAAAACCAGATACAACGGGTCCCTCAACTATCAAAACCGGTGCAGATTAGGTCCCTCGGCGGTTTTGAAGGCGGTTTTGGCTGACATGGCACCTACGTGGGGTCTTGATCTGACGTGGCGCTTACGTGGCAATTCGATCCGGAAAAATATAAAGCTCGTGGGACCCACATGTCAGTTTCACATAGAAATTAAAAAAAATGGTGGGGCCCACGTGGGCTCCACATGTCATCCTCACCCCTCTTCTTCCTCCTCTCTCCCCATCTCCCCTCTCTTCATCTCTCTCTTTCCTCACTGACCGGTGGAGTGGGGCGGCCGGCGGAGCGGAGCAGGTTCGCGGGCAGAGCGGCGGTGGCGGCATATCACCCTCACTCCCCTCTTCTTCCACCTCTCAACCTTTTTGTCGGTGGGGAGCCGGCGCGGTGACTAGGCATCGGCGGCGCGCCGGAACACAAGGCAACGGCGGCATGGAGGAGGGTGGTGCCGTTGGCGCGGCAAGGGAGGTGCTGGCGACGATGGGGGCGGTGGGAGAGGAGGAGAGCGTCGGCAGCGCGGGAAAGGGCGACGAGCGAGGGAGGAGTTGAGCGGGCGGGCGGCGGGAGAGCGAGAGAGGGCGACAGGCGGCAAGGGAGGAGCTGAGCGGCGGCGCGCAGCGGGAGAGAAGCTGGGCGGCGGTGGTGACCGCCGCCGAGGAGGGCGTCGCAACGGGCGGCTGCCAGCTGCCGTCAGGGAGAAGGTGCAGTTCCCCGCTTCTTGCCACCGCCGCTCCGGCTGCCACCGCTCCGCCTGCCCCGCTCCGCTCTGCCCGCGGCCCGCCGCCGCCCTGCTCCGCTCCGGCCGCCCCGCTCCGGCCGCCGCCGCTCCGCCCGCGGACCTGCTCCGCTTTGGCCGCCCCGTCCTTCACCCGCTCTAGTCGCCGCCGCCCCGCTCCACCGGTCAGTGAGGAAAGAGAGGGGATATTGGGAGAGAGGAGGAAGATGAGGGGTGAGGATGACATGTGGGGCCCACGTGGGCCCCACCATTTTTTATTAATTTCAATGTGAAACTGACATGTGGGTCCCACGAGCTTTATATTTTTCCGGATCGAATTGCCACGTAAGCGCCACGTCAATGCCACGTCAGATCGAGACCAAGTCAAACTAGCCACGTAGGTGCCACGTCAGCCAAAACAGCCTTTAAAACCGCCGAGGGACCTAATCTGCACCGGTTTTGATAGTTGAGGGACCTGTTGTATCTAGTTTTGCGGTTGAAGGACGAAAATCGGATTCGTTGACAAGTTAAGAGACCTTAGATGAACTTATTCCTTCTCTTGGCCCTCACGATAATGGGCCGATTTGGCAGGCCCTGCTGGCATGGTACAATCTCTGGGCCTGGCCCATTTTCAGAGTCAGACGGCCCATCTGGGCTGTCGTTTTTCTACTTGGACCCCTGAAGAAATCATTTTTTAACCTTTGCAACCTACAACCTCCTCACATCTCAACTGAATTAGTAATAGTAGATCTCTCGCCGTCGCCGCCTCCGCCTCCGCCGCCGGAATCCCCAGCAACAACCCGCCGCCGCGATGTCTCGCCGGTACGACAGCCGCACGACGATCTTCTCGCCGGAGGGGCGGCTCTACCAGGTGGAGTACGCGATGGAGGCGATCGGGAACGCAGGGTCGGCCCTGGGCGTCCTGGCGGCCGACGGCGTGGTCCTCGTCGGCGAGAAGAAGGTCACCTCCAAGCTCCTCCAGACCTCGCGCTCCGCCGAGAAGATGTACAAGATCGACTCCCACCTCGCCTGCGCCGTCGCCGGGATCATGTCGGACGCCAACATCCTCCTCAACACGGCGCGCCTCCACGCCCAGCGCTACGCCCTCTCCTACCAGGAGCCCATCCCCGTCGAGCAGCTCGTCCAATCCCTCTGCGACACCAAGCAGGGGTACACCCAGTTCGGCGGCCTCCGCCCCTTCGGCGTCTCCTTCCTCTTCGCCGGCTGGGACAAGCACCATGGCTTCCAGCTCTACATGAGCGACCCCTCCGGCAACTACAGCGGCTGGAAGGCCGCCGCCGTCGGGGCCAACAGCCAGGCGGCGCAGTCCATGCTCAAGCAGGACTACCGCGACGGGATGACACGGGAGGAGGCCGTCGCCCTCGCCCTCAAGGTGCTTAGCAAGACCATGGATTCGACCAGCTTGACCGCCGAGAAGCTGGAGCTCGCCGAGGTGTTCTTGCAGCCCGGCACCGGGGAGGTGCAGTACCAGGTGTGCTCGCCTGAGGCGATGGGGAAGCTGCTCGCCAAGGCCGGCCTCTCGCAGCCGGCGCCTGAGGCTTGATCTACTGAGATGGTTTGCTTCTTGTTCTCGCAATTCGGTTGGTGTTTAATCCATGTGATGGTAAACAGTTGATGAATTTAGTATAAATTTTCTTTTAAGAGTTGCCATCAGCTATGGTTTGAAATCAATCCAGATTGTTGTGTGTTATCGTCCTATTTCTTATCAGCAAGAACCCTTCTTAGTGATTATATGGTTATATTGAGTATATTTATAGAGCCCAAATACCTTGGACATATCCAATTCAGTATGCAGCTTTTGACAGAAACACAAATGGCTAATCTTTGTGTATTGGGATATGGTGTATTTCTCTATCCCTAGAATTTATTGGTTCGAGTTGTGATCCTGATAGAGTTCACCATTATAGTTTGGCAGAATTGCTGACAGTGGTTTCCAACCATGGTTCAATTTGAGAATCAACCCAAATTGCCGTGTAATTTTTCTATCTAGTATTAGCAAGATAACCTGCAACTGTTATACAGTGGAAGTGTCGAACTACCATTGATATATCATATTCAGCATTTAGATTACCTAGAAAAAGATGATTGTTGTTTTGTAGAATTGTCTATATCACAATAGGCTGAAGATTTATAGGTTTGAATTGACTGGCCAAATTGTTGGGCTTACTGTATTAGCTGCCACTGGTTTTCCATCCGGTAACCCAGTGAATCAAGAACACTATTATGGAGAGATGAGAAGGTGGTGAGCTGCTGAAATAGCAAGCAATCTTCCAGCACCATCTATCTAGTTCTTCAGATTAGCAAAGTCAGCCTTGTCAATACTGTGAATCTGGGTATCATAGTTAGGCTAGAAGGCTAGAACCGTCATGTCCTATTTCACAGCATAAGATGACCACACAATCCCTCCGAGAACAGATGTTTGGGGGATCGGATGAGAAGGCAAAAAGACTGGAACTTGCAGATTTCAGGACAAGAGGAGTTTCCCCTTGTGTTTGATGGAATTTCCTGATTTCAATACCTTTTATACATTATATGTGCTGTTACTGTGGTTTGCGCTAACCATCCTTGGCTCCTTTCTGATTTGGTACATTCCCTACAATGATAACTGAAGACATTTGCATTTGGTATAGGAGATGCTTACTGATGAACCTCTTTTGAGCCGTGTTACATTCTGTCAAGTTCAACATAATCTTGTGTTTTTGTACATCTTATACTCTTTTATCTACTCCCTCTTATATTTCTACCAGTAAGGGGGTTACCAATATGGTTTGTGGAAGTTTTCAGACACTTCGTGGTCAAAATGATTTACAGGAGTATACCAAGTTTTTTTCTTCTGAACTCTGAGATGTGAAAGCCAAGAAACATGTTAAGAACTAGTTAATGAAGTTGTATTCAGTAAAAATGGAGTGCTAATGCAACTGATAATTCTAGACCTATATTTTTTCATGGCATTTTTACTTTGGTTACTGATCATGAGATTGTTAGTGACTGTTCAGCCTAAGGTTGAGCCTCCTGAGCCAGACAGAGTGCAGGATCATGTGGAACATGTCGAGCCTCTCCGGCGGCTGGTGCAGCATGAAATGGCGCTTCACCAGCCGCACGCCGTCGCGGAGGCGCTCCACCTCCGGTGCCGGGATCCGCTCCAGCAGCTCCCTCAGCCTCGGCACATCGGCGACCGCCACCGCCACCGAGAACGCCTCCCACCGCAGCACGTCGGCGAACGGCGGCGCGTACCCGTCGGCGACTACCACCGGCACGCACCCGGCGTGGATCGCCTCCACCACCCGCGGGCTCGCCACCTCGTGCCCGCTCGGGCACAGGCAGAACCTGCTCCGCCGCATGTACCAGTAGTACGGGTTGCCGCCCTCGCCGCCGGCGTCGGTGTCGCCGTCGCCGGAGACGGAGACGGGGATGGAGGGGAGGTCGTACTCGTAGACGGGGAAGACGGCCGGGTCGCGGCCTTTCCAGTGGCGGAGGAGGAGGTCGCGGACGTGGCCGTGCCGGCCGCCGGCGAAGAATGCCAGGAACGGCCGTGGCGGCGGCGGCGCCGGGGACAGGAGCTCCGGCGGCATGTCGCCGTCGTAGAGGTTGATCTCCGGGATGCTGACGTCCTTGTCCGGCCGGAATCCCTCCGACGTGTTGGCGTTGCACAGCGCGCGGATGGCGTTCGCGTACAGCTCCGGGTGCCCCCTCGACGCGTGCGGACCCTACGCACGCACGTGCAACATAAAATTCGGTTTGAAAATTTCGAAATTCGGAGAATTTTGTGCCCCCGATATGACATTATTTCGAGGGAAGTTCTTTTATTTTTGAACTTGGCAGATCTTTTTTTCAAATTTGAAATGTTCACGGATGAAAATTTCCAGAATTTCGGATCTTTCGATGCCCCCTCATTTCATTCTATTTTTCTTTCCACACTACTCCCTCCGTTCGAAAAAAACTCAATTTTTGGGTTTCCATGTCTAACGTTTGACCGTCCGTTTTATTTAAAAAAATATTAAAAAATTAAAAAGATAAGTCATGAATAAAATATTATTCATGTTTTATTATCTAACAATAATAAAAATACTAATAAAAAAATTTCATATAAAACGGACGATCAAACGTTGGACGCGGAAAGTCGGAAACCCAGAAATTGAGTCTCGTTGAACGGAGGGAGTATGTACTGAATTTATTATTTGCACTCGTTTCGAAATTTGTATGGAAATCATTTGGTGTTGGGAAAATATTTTTCTCTGAAAAAATAAGGGAAAAAAATGATTTGTACTTGCCCAGTCGTGGCAGGAGAGCATGAAGTGGTCGGCGCCGGCGGATCGGTTCCAGAAGCGGTGGCGGGAGGCGACGACGGCGACGTAGTCGGCGACGATGGCGCGGAGCGGCGAGAGGTCGTACGACAGCGGCCGGTACGCGAGCTGCACCATCTGCGACACGCTCAGCGGCAGGAATAAGGCGTGCGCGCGCGCCGGGTCCCACGTCCGTACGCCGCCGAGCGGCGGCGCCATGAGCTCGAGCTCCTCGATGAAGCGGCCCTCGACGGCGTAGATGTTCTTGCACGGGCCCTCGTGCGCGATCGGCGGCTCGCCTTCCTCGTACACGTACACCTTGAACCGCCTCTCCATCTCCACGTAGCTCCTGCTTCCCCCTCACCGGAGAGAACACGGCGGCGTACATGTCAGCGAGTCGCCGTCGCCGGCGTACGGACAGATTTCAGTTATGTACTACCTGTAGAACGCCGCCGGGTTGCGGTAGACGCGCTCCAGGCGAGCGTGGTCCGCGTCGCCGAAGAAGCTCAGCCACTTCGCCGAGCTGACGTTGCTGCTGCTTCGTCCCTCGCCGCCGGCGAGATCACCATGTCGACGCCGCCGCGCCGCCCGGCGTATCGCTGCTCGCGCCGCGTCGAGCTCCCGCTCCACGGTCGGCGACGCCGCCCTCGCCATCGCCATCCGGGCCCTCTCCTGATGACACACGAAAAAAAAAAGACAAGCACAAAGCTCATCACACTAACGTACTCTCCACCATGGCGTACACGAAAACCACACGCACCGCGGCGAGACCATTCGACAGCCGACGCGCCGGAGAAGAGGAGGAAGAACGGCCGCGACCCGCGCCGGCGACGGACAAGAAGCCGGCGATGGCCGCGGCGGCGGCGAGGGCGAGGATGATCAGGCACTTCTTCACGCTGAGCCGAGGCGCCATCTCCGTCGATCGCCGCCGAGGATGCACGGCGCCGGCGGCGCCGCGGCGGAGCTCGACAAGGATACCGGATCAAGGCGGCGTGCATAGCATATGCGGTTCAGCAAGCGGGATGAAGTTAGCAGGGAAGCAGGTGACTCACAGGATGTTGGGTTTAAGTTGCAAGTAACTAGATTGTTCACCCAATTCTTTCACCCAAACCTTGCCTAAAAAAGACACAAATATTAGAGAATGACATAATATCAAATAATTAGAAGGGGTGAAGCTTCGAACCCAAGTCGTCTAGCCCACCACACCTCGTGGAGCTAGCCGAAAGACCCCTGGGAGTTTCTCCACCCAAACCTTGCCTAACAAATTCACTACCAAATTTTGATATGTTAACAAACTAACCATCACCTTACCAATTCCATCGTACTAAAATATGGTAGTTCTGAAACTTTCCTCAAACAAAAACACTAACAAAATTTGGAAGACATCAAGCTAAATACATCCAGCTACTAAAATTTAGCAATGTAAAACTTACCAAAATTTGATATTGTCAAAATTTGGTAATGTTAGAATTGGTAACAAAATAAACAAGCTCTCTACATTGATGGCCCTTGATAAGTTACCATGAGACAAAAAGGTGAGTAGAAGTAAAGTACACGAGTGAATCAACAAAAAATTAGTATTTGAGATCACGAATCATCGTCAGTAGATCAGGAGCATTCTTAGTATTTCAAACATTTTTCTTCTATAAAATATGATCCGTAAAACGCAACCTTGATTGTTGGTATTATTTGCTCAGCTCCAAAATAAAACACAGTTACTCCCAGTGACCAGGAGACCAATCTACACTTATCCTGGGCTTCTAATCTATCTATCGGTTTCTGGTCACGAAATCCAAATCAACGGGAAGAAAAATCTACCATTAGATCTTATGCCTTCATTTTTCTCTTCATCTTTCTCTTGGCTTTGGTCTTGCCGCTGCTGCTTCTCTTGCTCTTGTAATCTGGAGGCTTGTACTCCGGCACATCACGAAGTCCCAGTTTTGACAAAACAAGGCAGTATGAATCCCAGTCGGTTCTGCGCAAGTATTTGAGGTATTTCTTCCTCCTTTGCACCATCTCTTGAAGTCCCTTTCTGGAATGCTTGTCCTGAATTACACGTCAAGTTCACATATTACTTTCACTTCACCAGAAGAAAATCAGGCGAGCCCGGCAAATTCTATGGCAAGGTAAACCGTGATGCTGTATGAAAATGGTCATGTAAGATCACCTTCTTATGCAGAGTAGTTGACAAATGCTTGATTTTTGTGGTAAGTTGTGCCACTGCAAAACATAGACGGGCATCAATTGCAGATATACAAGCCTAAAATATGTACTTACAAGCCAGAAAGGTGGAAGGGAAGAGGAAATTTTACATAAAGTCATAAACATGCATGGAGATAAAAGCTCATCTAAAGCCTTGCTGACAGAGTTTCCCTTTTTCTGAAACCAATTACAACAAAGGAAGTTTTTCTGGGTAAAAAAGAGAAGGAATGTGAAATCTTAAAGAGATGCAATTGTCCTAGTGTGTTGCTTTGGTCGTATGCCTGAACTTTTCAAGCCAATGTAAACACCTCAAAGTCACATGCAATTACCGAGCAAATCTATCTATTATGGAAGCATCATAAAAAATCATGAACCTGAACTTTCTTTGAATCAAGAAAAACTATATTACAGATTGGGAGCTAAAAAGAAGCTTGGAAAAGAGAACTTCAAATTTAGAGGACAAGATTAGCTAGTTTGGATATAAAGCCAAATCTTAACTAAACTCGTAATAACTAAACCACTGGGTTCAGGGTTTTAAAACGTGACGTGCATATTACATAGCTTATTCACACACTCAACACTCAACATAACATACCCAAGCGTGGAACATGACTTAGATGGTGACTAAATAAATGGCAGCAGAAGTTTGCAACAAAAAGTTCAAAAATTGTCAAACAGAAATGGCCTAAATATCAGTATTAACAAATAACTCTTATTGCACGACATCTTCAATACACAAAATTGAGCCTTAAAACTACCCCTACTGTAAAAGTATACACCACGTTGTCATTTCTCATGGGGAACAAATACACGTCAAAAGAAACTTACTCATAAACTTGCAGCAGTCAACACATATGAGTGCAATACATGTCAAAAGAAACTTACTCATAAATTTGCACCAGTTAACACATATCAGTGCTTTACCGTGTACCTTTTAAGTAATGAATTTTAATAGATAGCAAGTGAGTGTTTGATATGAGAACAAATTCTCACGTAAGACCATAAAGACCTGAACATGATCACATATAAAGCTCCTCATAACTAAGATGTCAGTTTCTCACAACTCTATGGTTACAGAAGAAACAAAAAATACCTTGAACCCGTGCAGAACCACAGTCATTCTCAGACATTTTGAACTCATCCCTTACACTCTGGAGCTCCTGCTTCATCTTCTCCGCTGATGACATATGATCGGGATGGAAGTACTGCAAAGATCCAACTGACAATTCTCAACACCACATCATCCAATCTAAACAACAAAATGCATCAAATGCACAACACTTCCAGCTCACCCTCTCCACCAACTCCTGTTGCGGTTTCCCCAGCAAGTACGCCGGTGTGGCCTGAGAGCCAAAGGCCATCAAAGCCGACATACTCTGTGCTGCAGCCACTAGCAAACCAAATGTAACCACAGCATCATCAGTAACAAAAAGGTTATCCATCAGTTTCATCAGGCATTCACCAATGGCGACTAAACAAGAACAGCAAAATCACGATGTATCATTACAGTTGTTCGTCTTCAGATCTTTGGTCTGCAGCGTCACGATCGCATCCCGCAGCACGTCGGTGCCCAGCCCGGACTGCAGAGCCCTTTCCTCCCTGTCCATCTCTCGCAGCTTCTTGAGTCGCCGGCTCAGCTCCTCCACGGAGAACCACTCCTTCCCATCCTTACCCACCGGTGGCCGCAGTTCACTGAGCTTCTTGCCGAGCTCATTGTCGCTGTACAACCGGATGAACTGCTGCTCCTCCACTTTGCCGTCACGGCCTCTCCTCGCCTCCCCCCTCGTTTCCCTCCCGAACACCGACTCCGGCAGCGGCTTCCCGTCGTGTCTCTGCCGCGAGGAGAGGATGGAGCTCCAGTCCGGCGAACTGGCGGTGGCGCCGGGGAGGGGCACCGCCGACGCCGTGGGGCTCGTTCCCAGGTTCTTGTTCAAGCTCTCGCGGAGCGCGCTGAAGGGAAAGGCGTCCGCTCCGGTGGCGCGGCTGGTCGGAGGGGCGGGCCTGGCGCGGAAGACGTCGGCGAAGGAGGGGCTGGGGTTCGCGGCGGCGGCGGAGGTCGCGCCGGATGAGGGATGGGGGTTGCGGAAGAGGTGGAGGCTGCGGCGGACATCGTCGGGCGGCGGTGATTCGGGGATGCGGCGCGGCGGGGAGGAGGGAGGGGTGGCGTTGAGGTGGCCGCGGATTTCGGCGAAGTGGGAGGAGAGCTTGGTGGTGCGCTGATCGGCGGATGCGGGGTCGGACGTCGGAGGCGGGAACATACCCTCGCCGGAGGAAGAGGAGAAGGCGCGCGGGAGGAGGGTTTTGTGGCCGCGGTGGATGCGGCGGCGGAGGAGGAGGAGCGCCATTGCCGGCGGCGAGGTCGAGTGAACTGAGAAGGTGACGGAAAACTCGCGGGCTTCGTGTGGTTGGTTTCGTAGGGCATTCGGCGAGTTGGGCCTCAACGGGCTAGCCCAAACGGCGCAGGCTTCGGCTTAATTCGGCCCAAATTAGCGAACAGCGTAGAATTTTGACAATAAGTCTATTTTGTCCTTTTGACTACAAAACCGGATATAACATCTATTCCATCTAAACCAGTGCAAGTCGATTCTTTTGCGGATAAGTCTATTTTTGTCTGATAACGTCTCTCCCATCTTCGAAAACCAGTGCAAATTGACTATTTTGGGGGTTTAGGAAGTGGTTTATGTTGATGTGCACCGGCTTTTGAAGCGGAGACATTATACCCGGTTTTGCGGTTGAGGAGGGTGATTCACTCAAAAGCATGACAGGGAGACAAATTAGACTTACTCCAATTTTCTCTGATTTCGGCCCAATTTTGCGTATGGCGTGGGATTTGGGGCTGAATTCGGCCCGTTTTTATCTCCTTCGCAAAAATGGAGTTGAATTTGGGCCGAATTCGTCGTCTTCTTGTCGGCCTACGAGTGGTGGAGGCGAGCTGCAGTGTGTCCGAAGCTTTTCTTCTCTACCAGCGGCAGCGGCGGCTGGTAGGGAGGAGGAGATCGCCACCAGATCGCCATGGAGACGCTGGCGAGCGCCATGCGGCGGGAGAACCGCCGCTTCAAGCCCCCCTCCTCCTCCTCCGCCTCCGCCTCCGCCGCCCTCTCCTCGGGGAGGGTCCCCCTCGTCATGGCCTTCCTCTCCTGCCTCGCGTGGCTCTACGTCGCCGGCCGGTACGTACGCGCGCCCGCGCGCTCAGATCCGGGGGGAATTTCCGTGGAGTTTTCTGATTGTTTCGTTGATTGGATTTTTTTTTTGCAGGCTGTGGCAGGACGCGCAGACGCGGATGATCCTGTCTGGTCTCCTCGAGAAGAGCTCCGGCAATGTGCGGATCTCTCCCCCTCTCCACCCACTTCTCGTTTTTTTTTTCCGCTTGATTTGTCAGTTCGTGTGATGGTATCGCCTAAATTGCAGCTTCCGAAGGTGCTGTCGGTGGAGGACAAGCTGAGGAATCTAGGATGCATGTAATTCCCCCCTCTCTCTCTCTGAAGAGGAATTCAGAATTCAGAATTTTAGTTGCTGATTTGAAATGGGTTGTTTGGTGGCAGTGGAATTGGGAGGAAGATTGCGGAGGCAGAAATGGACCTTACAAAGGCGAAGAGCGAGGGGTATCTGTGGGGGAATGGAACTGCTACTGGTAGTTCTGACAAGAAGAAGCTCCTTGCTGTTATTGGAGTTTACACTGGTTTTGGTTCCCGGCTCAAGAGGAACACCTTCCGTGGCTCATGGATGCCGAGAGGTTCGCTGTTCTTGCTCTTTTAGTTTCCAGTTTACGGCGATAAAATGTGTGCGCCCTGATAACATTTGGTTGGAATGCAGCTTCATTTTTTTTTCTAATAGCTATTGCTGATGCAAACTATGTTACTTATAAGGTTTCAACTACAGGAGTATAATTGTTCTTTTACCTCACTGTAAATTTCAGGTGATGCTCTGAAGAAGCTTGAGGAGAAGGGTGTGGTCATTCGTTTTGTCATTGGTCGGAGGTTTTATTCTGGATCCATATCTCTTATATGTAGCATCTCTAGCACCTTAGACAATCATTCGCCCCATATCATTCTCAGGCTTTTCTTCATGTTTAGTTTTCCTACTGAAATTGTTCTGTTTGGTCCTTCAGTGCAAATCGAGGTGATAGCTTGGACCGCAACATCGATGATGAAAATCGTCGGACGAAAGATTTCTTGATTCTTGTAAGGATCTAATAACATTTAATATCATTTTTCCAATTTGTCCTTCACAAAAAATTAGTACTGTAGTACATGCAGAAGACTTTTGGCTTTGCTTGGTTGTTTTCTGGCATGGAAGACTATCTTACATTCTCGTCCGTATTGGGCCTTCAATTCAGTACCTATTTTAAGTTATCTCACTGTCCTGATTCATCTAAATGTCGGTTTTTAATTTGACATTTGGATATACAGCTTAGATCAAAACCATTTTTGTGACATTGTCAAATCTTGAACAAACTGCTTGCACTTTATGGAGAACAGAATGTGACATAAATAGTCAATAAATTGTCACACAGGAAAGTCATGAGGAAGCTGCAGAGGAGTTACCAAGCAAAGTTAAGTTTTTCTTCAGTGCAGCAATTGAAGCTTGGGACGCAGAGTTCTATGTGAAAGTCGATGACAACATTAACCTTGACCTGGGTAATTCCTTTTCTGTTGAAACATTACACCTATGGCTTATTTCGGCTTAATGTTTTGACTCATTACAATCTATATATTAGCTGGATTAATTGAGATGCTTGAAGCCCGTCGAGGTAGCCAAGGACTGTACATGGGTTGCATGAAATCAGGAGGTGTTGTAAGTGAAGAGTATGTGCTTTCATTCCCATCATCAGTAGGTTTTTATTTATTTAGATTTTAGACAACATGCATGGCATATGTTAACACCAACTAGACCATCCATTTCATAAGAGGTACCATTTGTTTTCCTTGCGGATCCATTTAGCAGTGATGCTTCCATGCTGACATCCTTCCATCTTTGAAAGCTATGTAAATGTAGTGGAATGCATTGAGCATCTGAAACGTTTGGTCCAATCAAGGAATCATAGCTTTTGAATTGCTTAGTCCCATTATTTACCTTAGGTGCTACCATTGCTTGATATCGAGAAAACATGTACCTTGCACACTCTTAATTGCATTGCATCATTTATATATTCAGGGATAATATTTCATTCAGTACATTGGATTGCTTTGCCCTTTGTTAACCCGTCATTGAAGCCACTTGATACCAACTTCAATTTCAGGGGTCAACAATGGTATGAACCTGAATGGTGGAAGTTTGGAGATTCAAAAACGTGAGTAAACTAACATATTCAAGGTCCTTGCCATTTGTCTATTATCCTAATATTCATCTTAGTGTTGGGTGATTAGCAATAATTCTGTGTCTAGTGGTGTTCTTACATGTTTTATGGGCATTATTAATGAAGCACCGATCTCATGTTCTTTCTTAGTATTTGGATTTCTGAGTCTAATGCTACATTGAGGCTACAAACATTTCAACCTCCTGATAGTGAGTTTCAGCCTTCAATGCAAACCTAAGAATGATTTTTTTTTTCATATTACCAACTACTCGTATAACCTTGCATGGCTTGCAGCGGATGATGTCATTATAACTACTTTTTCATGCTAATAGCGGTTTCTCCTTGATTCACAAATGGTTTACGAGTCTTAAAGATCTGGTGAAGCCCATCTGTTTTATATTTAGACTTAATTTGCATTGTGCTTGTAATTTCTATTTGTTTGGTGAAGGAATACGCCTAGTTTAAATAGATGTGTTTCCTGGGTGATACTAGTATCTATGAGAAGTGTTCTCTGCTGTTTCTTCAGCGTTTTCATTCTCTGGCTCCTTCAACTTTCTAGTATATCACTTTTTTTCCGTTCACTGTGATTTTTAATTCTCAGGTATTTTCGCCATGCTTCCGGTGCTTTGTTTATCCTCTCTAACAATTTGGCACGCTACATTAACATAAACAGGTAAGTGGTGCGCATCCACCTGTTTTATCTTTGAGTCATGCTAAGCTAAACCAGTTTTGGTGACCAACCAGGCCCCTCTGAGCAATTGCAGTGCATCAGTTCAATTAATACAGAATAAATGTTGCAATTAGGATGATGTTTTCTTGGTGGTCAAACGACAAATTAGTTTTTTGTTACATGAGTCTTCTCCTGTATATGTGATTTACAGAAAACAGGCTATATTCGCTGGATTTCATATAAGTTACTAATACTGTCTTTAGCATTTATGAATTAATAACCGGCCACTGAAATGCTGTTCTGACTAACTGATATATAAATGTTAGCCATCTGCCATCTATTTGATGGTCTTGATGATGCAGGAACACTGTCCAGATGTTCTTTGTCAATAATCAATAATACAACAGTAACCAATTGATATCTCTAGTCAATATAGGAGTATATGCAGTCAAAATTTGACCGAAATTTGAGCAATTTGTTTCTCTTCGATATGCAGTGCATCGCTACAGAGCTATGCCCATGATGACATATCAGTAGGTTCATGGATGATGGGGCTGAATACTACTTATGTTGATGACGACCGTTTGTGCTGCGGCAGTTCTAGACAAGGTAAAAGCTCGCCTCCTGAATCCATTATCCTACCCTGGACAATTCATGGCGGTACTTCTATGCTAATGCTGTAATTCTGCTGCCGTATGCAGAGAAAGTATGTTCCCACGCATGAGTTAGCAGCACGCATGGTTATGACGGTGGTGTCCTGATGAAGAGGTGACGCTGTATATTTTGCCATTTTGTATACACCAAGCGGCTTCTGGAATGAAAAATAGATACATCATTTCAAACGCTGCTTTATCCGATCAGTATACTTAAATACAAGTGTAGGGGAACTAGTTGACAAAAACTATAAAAGCGCTGAGCTTATTTTTGGTGGAGCTTCCTGTTTGACATATTTGTCGAAAGTCGAAACCAAATTCAGGGTGATAGATGAACTTCTGTTCGAAGTTTAGGGGATATACTGGCCTTCTCTTCTCCAACTTTTTTTCTCATTAACATCTTCAAATCCAGCCCTGAGTTGAGGCCTCCATTTCACCATTTGTCACTTCAACCCATAAGTTTAATGCATGTCATCTTAGATTCTTGGGCAGTGGCAAACAAATGGAGGGCAGGCTGCGTCTGCTGCAGCCAAAGTAGATGCTTTACTGTCCCTGAAATACAATCCCAGCATGTGCAACCTTTCCATTGAAATGATTTAAGACGATCACTATCGATACAGATCATGGCAGATCGCCCAGCAAATTTTTTAGACTAGAAAATGACGGAAACAATTTGCAGGGTAAACAAGTCGCCTGAAATGGGATAATAAAACTTTTTAGAATATCCTTCCGGTTAAAAATATGACAGTTGAAGACCTCCGGGTCTTTCTCAATGCAACATCGTTCCATCGTCAAAAACTATCCATTGAAGTGGAGTCTCACAGTAAGCTTGTCCAACAGATCCATTCCTAACCTACATGTGTTTAACAAGTTGATCATCAGTCCTACTTAATTACCAGGCCACACTCAACCTTTTTAACAAGCTAATCTCATCGTACCATATTAAAGAAAGAAATCAACGTGAGCGGTGCAGGCCATAAACAAATTGACAAATCCGCGAGATCCAATGAAGCACATTTACATATGGATTCCAAATCTAATAAATCCAAATGGATTCCACCTTGTTGAAACTATAAAAATGGAGCTTATTTGTCGGTGAAGCTCATGGTTAATTTGATGTATTTGTTAAAACTAAAGTTCGGGGTTGTAGATGAACTCCCGAAGTTCAAGTATATCCCCGAATCCATCCTGATTTGAAGCCCAAAGTAGACTGACGATTCAGTCACTACAATGCGATCCTGGGCACATGTTTCCTTTGCTCCATTGAAATTATTCAAGACGATCACGATCAGAATAGATCATGGCACGGATCACCTAGCAATTATTCTACACTAGAAAATAGCTGAAACAATCTGCATGATCACCAAGTTGACGGGTGATGAACTGATGATAAGCTTTTTTCCTAACAAAATATCATATGGTTCCACACTCGATTTTATAAAAGATACAGTGTGGTGTTGTCCAATGTCTACACCGCATGTTAACGATTGCGTCAAATAAAAAAAATCTATACTCCCTCCAGAATATAAGCATTTCTAGCAATGAATATGGATATATAACTATCTAGATTCATAGCTAGAAGTTTATATTTTGTAACGGAGGTAGTTTATATTTTGTGACGGAGGTAGTATAACGGAGTTAAATCCAGACTATTTAAATACTTAATGAGTAGAGGCTACTGACAGTGAAGCAAACACACACACAGTCACAGACCATGGTGCACCCAGCTCAGGGCCAGATGGTGCAAGACCTCGCCGCCGGCGGCGAGCTCGGGGCGCCGCCGAGCAGGTACGTGCTGCGGGAGAAGGACCGCCCGGTGGCGGCGGCCGGCGCCGTGCAGGCGGCGCAGCGGGAGCTCGCCGCCATCCCCACCATAGACGTGAGCCGACTGGCCGCCGAGAGCGGTGACGACGTCGTCGACGACGGCGGCGAGGCGGCCAAGCTCCGGTCGGCGCTCCAGTCGTGGGGGCTCTTCGCGGTGACCGGCCACGGCATGCCGGAGCCGTTCCTCGACGAGATCCTCGCCGCGACGCGGGAGTTCTTCCACCTCCCGCCGGAGGAGAAGGAGAGGTACAGCAACGTGGTCGCCGCCGCCGACGCCGACGGCGTCGGCGCCGGCGGCGAGAGGTTCCAGCCCGAGGGCTACGGCATCGACCGCGTGGACACCGACGAGCAGATCCTCGACTGGTGCGACCGGCTCTACCTCCAGGTGCAGCCGGAGGAGGAGCGGCGGCTGGAGTTCTGGCCGGAGCACCCGGCGGCGCTCCGGGGACTCCTCGAGGAGTACACGCGGCGGAGCGAGCAGGTGTTCCGGCGGGTGCTCGCCGCCACGGCGAGGTCGCTGGGGTTCGGGGAGGAGTTCTTCGGCGACAAGGTCGGCGAGAAGGTGACGACGTACGCGCGGTTCACCTACTACCCGCCATGCCCGCGGCCGGAGCTCGTGTACGGCCTCAAGCCCCACACGGACAACTCCGTCCTCACCGTCCTCCTCCTCGACAAGCACGTCGGCGGCCTCCAGCTGCTCAAGGACGGCCGCTGGCTCGACATTCCGGTGCTCACCAACGAGCTCCTCGTCGTCGCCGGCGACGAGATTGAGGTAATAGTTATAAAAAGTTGGTAAGATAGATTATGATAATAATAATACATAAGAGTGATACTTCGGTGCTTTCTATTGGTGGTATTATACCATCAGTATTATAAAGGATAATTAGTAATTTACTATTATAATGATTAAAAGTTACTTTGTTATTTATGTTTTCCTTGTCTAAATAGATATATGATCATTCATTGATTGTGTTGGCATCGCTTATATTTCATCGAAAAAGAAAAAAAAAGAGAAGAAAAAAAAGGTTTAGTCATTGCTAAATAACGTTTATGCCCTCGCATCTATTTTTTCTAATACTCCTCCACGTTTCTACCACCGCTAACTAGGCTGGTAGTATAAATAGATCTGAGCTCTTCAATCAAATGAAATTAACACTTTAAATTGATTTCTACTACCAGTAGATAGCCCTACAGTGAGGCTCCATGCGTAAACATGGAAGTTTAAATTCGATCTACATTTACTAGCTGATTTTATTGTTTCTCTTTTCTAGTTCTAGATTAAATTTAGTCTTTCTATAAATTTATGTCATCCCATTTGATATTACTATTTTCTTAATTTTTTATAGCTATTTGAGTAAAAAAATAGATCTGCTTGAATAAAAATTTAAGTTGTTTGCATTGCTTGGTGTTGCAGATCATGAGCAAGTGTTCATGGCGCCGGTGCACAGGGTGGTGACGAGCGAGAGGGAGAGGATGTCGGTGGTGATGTTCTACCAGCCGGAGCCGCACAAGGAGCTGGCGCCGTCGGAGGAGCTCGTCGGCGAGGAGCGGCCGGCGATGTACTAGAAGCTCAAGGCCAAGGCCTTCGGCGACGGCTTCTGGGACGCATTCGCCGCCGGCGAGCGCACCATCGACTTCCTCAAGGTCAAGGTCGAGCACCAGCAGCAGCAGCCGGAGGCGGCGGCGGCGGCGGCCGTCTCGACCAGCGCGTGATGTGATGGAGGAATCTAGCTAATTAATCGCGTGGCCTGCATGCTTAAACTAAAAAAATATGTGGAATAATAGATAGAATGATAGATGTTCACGTTGGTGTTTACTAGGTTGGTTGAGACGTATTACGTGAGTCTAATAATCTACTACTCCCTCCGTTTTACAATGTAAGTCATCTAGCATTTCTCATATTCATATTGATGCTAATAAATCTAAACATATATACTTATTTAGATTCATTAGCATCAATATAAATGTGGAAAATGTTAGAATGACTTACATTGTGAAACGGATGAATTATCAATAATGTGTTGTATCGACTGTGTCATGAACTGTGTTGATGATGAAAAATAAAGTTCACTTTGGTGTGAAGAAATAGATCGATCTTTTACTCTCCACATGAAGGGGAAATCAATTTACAACCAAAGTAGTACTCCCTCCGTTTTAAAATGTTTGACACCGTTAACTTTTTAGCACATGTTTGACCATTCGTCTTATTAAAAAAATTATGAAATATGTAAAACTATGTATGTACGTGAAAGTAAATTTAACAATGAATCAAATGATATGAAAAAAAATAAATAATTACTTAAATTTTTTGAATAAGACGAATGGTCAAACATGTACTAAAAAGTCAGCGGTGTCAAATATTTTGAAATGGAGGGAGTATATATATATATTTTTGCTTTGCATATATATCATCAAAATGTTTCTAAACATATGTTATAATATGCAATATTTGAAAACCTGAAGTCATAAATTTGGTTATAGTACTATTTGTAACTGAATTTGTCCTCCTGTTTTTTCTCGTTGTGTGTAGATCAACTGTATCAATGTTGTACTGTAATATCTTTTCGGATTTTTTTTATAATTAATTGAGTGGTGTTTGAGGAGCCAAAAGCAAATATCGCACGCGCACTTGAGTCCTCAAAAATAATTTAAAAAATTCGAGCTCCAATCATGCATGCCGTTTGGGCTAAAGCTAAATTCCGCATTTGATGTGAAAACCATATCTTTTGTTCTTATATATGATTATTAATATTTTCTCCGTATTTTAATATATGACGTCATTTATTTTTACCAACGTTTGACTATTCGTCTTATTTAAAATATATATTATTATTATTATTTTTATTATGACTTGAGTTATCATCAAATGTTTTTAAGTATTATATAAATAGTTTTATATTTACACATAATTTTAAAATAAGACGAATGTTTAAATGTTGGTTAAAAAGTCAACAACATCATACATTAAAATACAAAATACGGAAGGAGTTTAAAATATAAGAGAATCGTGCCGAGCCAGCCTAGCTTGCAGATGAGCAGGGGCTCCAATACTGACGCGTCGCCGGCGTACGTCCTCGTCCGGCGAGCCGCCGTGTCCGTCCATCAGTGCGCCGCCGCCGCCACTCTTTGTTGTGATGGATCACAAGCTATGCATCGCTATCGATCTCTCTCGATCTCCCTTATATGCATCATAGCCGGGATATAGATATTAAGATATATCGTTGTGGATTGGATGCGTACAAACGCCTCATTATTGATGCTGCAACTTCTCCTGTTTGTCCCTTTGCAGAGCAGAGAAATCAATCAATCAAAATTCAAAATATCAAATGGTGATGAAAATCTTACTCGAGATGGAAAATTTCAGGTTTGGTTGGATCAAAGCTCACCGGAGCCGGTGAAGAACGGGAGAGATCGAACTGAAAAGTGAAAAAGGCCTAGTTTTGATCATGGGCCACACGTTCCAAGGCCGCCACTGATGGTCCGGCCCGGCCCATCTAAGCCCACCACTTATTGGGCTCTCGCGGGCTCGCCGCGGCGGCAGTTGGGCCGCGCGATGGCAATGAGGAGCTTCGTCGGAGATGGAGGTCGGGTCGGGGGGCTTCGGCGGCGGCGGCAGGTGGTGGCCGTGTGGGACTATGGAGGCGGCGGCGGCGGCGGCGGCGAGCAACCGATTCCATTTCGCGGCAATGGCGGCGGTGACCGGAGGAGGAGGCGCGACGAGGCTACTTCCTGCGGGTTGCCTCGATCCCATCTTCTTACGCAGATAGGGAATCGGGGCGGATAGGTTTGTGCCAAAGCAGCTTCGGTTAAATTTTTTGTTCTTTGAAAAGTTTGGGGGAAATTTATTTGGGATTAGTACTGTGCGAATGTGCAATGTTTTCAGGATTGATTTTGTGCAATCCAAAAAACAGGAAGAAAAATCCCGTAGGAACAAGAATCGTTCGTTTTTTTTAAAAAAAAAAACAGCACACGGTATTAGGGTTCCTTGCATAGAATTTGATATGAAGCATGCCACTTTCAAAGTAGTAGAAGATGAACAAGATTGCCATGAACTATACCACTTTCAAATAAAAAAGAAACAATATTGTCATGAAGTACACCACTTTCAAATTAAAAAGAAACAAGATGTCATAGAATTTGATGTGAAATACGCCACTTCCAAATAAAAAAGAAGCGATATTGCCAGGTTCAGTTAATATGCTCCTTCAAGATGTTAAGTTATTCTGGAAAGGACGTTATCACAAGCTTAAATTTAAGGGCCTGTGCTGTGCATCATCGGTTGCTCAACCTCTCAAGTTGAAGTTGGCATGTTGTATGTTGTGTAACACATGGAGTGGTTTTCTGATTCACATGGTATATTGAATCTTTATTCTTCTAGGTGCTTATATTTTTCATTGTCCGGCAAAAGTATGCCGCCCAAATTAAGACCAAGGAGAGGTTACAAGTAATAAATAAACAAACAAGGTTGCTGTGCCACCAGAAATTAGCCCAACTACCTAAGGATAGAACAAACAGCCTGCCAACTCCAGGCTAGTACACAGCTGCGCTCTAGGTGCTTATATTGAAGTTAGGGAATCAGATGTTGAGCTTGAATTTAAATCTTAATTGTCAGCCACTATTGGGCAGTTCCTAACTCTGCTCCATAAATGTCAAATTGCCTTTTTTTTTTGGTTAATTCAGCAATTTGGTTGCAACTTACAGCATTTTTTTATACCAGGTATAAATTGTTTTCATTACATGACCACTTGTGCAACAATGGCAGTATTTTTACTCTTTTTTCGTACATGGTCTCAGACTCATATATAGTAACTTCTCCGTATCAACTCAACAGCATTGAACAACCTAAGTCCTGAGACAGTACCTGAGCTACATCCGTATGGAAGGGAGCATGGAGGATGTGAGATCAACACTACTTGTGCAGGAGCTTGCCGGCATGAGAAGCAAATCTGTGCCAAGACAGTACATTGTGCAACAAGAAGACCAACCGACCATTGCAGCCACTGCATCATTCCCCATTGTTGACCTTGGTCGCCTGTCCCAACCAGATGGTGATGCCAATGAGGCGGTGAAACTCCGGCAGGCGATGGAGTCTTGGGGCCTTTTCATGGTAATAAGTAGTCAGTGTACCTTTGATAGATTTTTGTTGAACTGCCTTGGCTTCTTTAAATAACATGATGTCGTGGCTTATATTCTATATCTGCAATTGTGTTCTCAGGTAACTAACCATGGCATAGAAGATGCTCTGATGGATAACGTGATGAATGTGTCAAGAGAGTTTTTTCAACAGCATCTTGGAGAGAAGCAAAAATACACCAACTTGATTGACGGCAAGCATTTCCAGCTAGAAGGGTATGGAAATGACCAGGTGAAATCTGATACCCAAATCCTGGATTGGTTGGATCGATTGTATCTGAAAGTAGATCCAGCAGACGAGAGAAATCTTTCCGTTTGGCCCAAGCATCCTGAATCTTTCAGGTAATATCACAAACACAGTGTCAGAGATGTTTTACGATTTGTTTACGGCGATGGTAAACAACTTATAAGGCCTAGTTTATGGTTGCAACGTGTCACAAAAATTTAGTACTCCCTCTGTCCCAAAATTTATAGTTCAAATTATGTCAATAAAACACTTTCGCCAGTACCAATCCATTATGCGAATTGACTCTTATGTAGGGATGTTCTGGATGAGTTTCTCATAAAATGTGATGGAGTTAAAAACAGTCTCCTTCCATCAATGGCAAAGCTCTTGAAACTCAACGAGGATTACTTTGTCAGACAATTCTCTGACAGGCCTACCACTATTGCTCGATTCAACTACTACCCTCAGTGTCCAAGGCCTGATCTTGTCTATGGCATGAAGCCTCATTCTGATGCAACCATTCTTACAATTCTTATGGTTGATAACGACGTTGGTGGGCTACAAGTTCTTAAAGATGGTGTCTGGTATGATGTCCCAACTAAACCTCACACCTTGCTGATCAACTTAGGAGATCACATGGAGGTAAATATATCTGTCCACGAATGCTGTTTTTCTTGTCACCATTGCATCATGCTATCTTAGCTCTTGCTAAAACTCACTGTCTCACTGTGAGCTTCCCCCTTTTTTGTGTGTGGGTGAACTTACTGTGAGCGGAAGAGGGGAGTTAAAAAGCAAAAAAGCCCCCCGCGTCGCTTTCGCGTCGGGTGGCTCGGGGGCGAAAAACCCTAGCCGCCCGCGCCTTCTCTCCCTCCCTCCCCCCACCTCGCTGTCGCTGGAGCCCGCCGGCGGCGAAGCCGGCAGCGGGCAGGGAAGGCGGTAGCGAGGCCTTCTTCTCTTCGTAGCGTCTCCCTCCTCGGCGCGAAGGACGAAGACGACGAAGCTCTCCACCGGCGTGGTCCGTGGCAGCTACGGCGGCGAGGTGGGGAGGAGACAGCGGATTCGGAGCCCCCATGGCCGGATCCGGCCCTCCCTTGCCTGGATCTGCGCGGCGGCGGCGCGAGGAGGCCTGGGGCGGCGCGACGGCATGCGGTCGTGATGGCGGCCAGCGGCAAGGCGGCGAGGTGGCGGCCGGCTACGGCTAGGCCGGCCCAGCACGGGCGCGGAGGCGGTGGACGGCTGAGGCTCGGCGTGGAGGCGCGCGGAGGCGGCTCGTCAGCGGCGGGCGCGCGCGGCGGATGGCTGCGGCTCGTCGTGGCCGGCCCGGTCGCGGAGGCGGCGGGCAGCGCAGCCTGCCCGGAGCGGCAGCGGCGCCCCCGCTCACTCGCTCGGCCTGGCCGCTCGGCGCCAGCCCATGGCGCGGTGGGTCGTCCAGGCCTCGGTGGCGGCTCAGCTTGGTGGCCGGGCAGCCGGGATGCCGCCGCGGTGGCCAGGTGAGGCGCGGCGGCCGGACTTCGGGGGCGCCGGCGGGTGGTGCCGGTCCGGAGCAGCAGCACCACCGGCGGCCAGATGGCAGTGCAAAGGGAGCTGGCGGCGGTGGGTCGTCTTCCTCGTTGCCGGTCGGCACCCTCGGCCTTCATGGAGCTCCTCCCTTTCTTTGCGGGGAGTTTATAGTTTGGATTGAGGCGGTAGCTTGTCAGTGGGGGAAGCTCAGGCTGCCGAAGCAATGCCACCTAGTCCCGGGTTCTCCTTCGGCCAAATCTGGCGAGGCGGCCGGCGGGTGGTGGAACGGAGGAGTCCTGGGCCAGCTCTCAGGGGTGGTGGTTCGTTGAAGTCGGCCGATGGAGGGGCGTCGGTGCGGTGTGGTGGATGCCACGTGCTGCCATTTGTCTGTGTGGTGGTTCTGAGTTGGTGGACGGCGATCTGCAGTCAAGGTTGTAGGGTCCCAAGCGAAAGCCTAGTCCGGTGGTTCACCGGGCCGACAGCGGCTACGTCTTCGGGCGTCGTAATTTCCTTGGAGCGTTGTCGAGGGTTACCCTCTCCCTTTCTTGGCGAGCTTCTCTGGGTGAAAACCACATCTTTTTAGATGGGCGATGGCGGCATCCTGGATGTCGTGACCACCATGGTGGCATCGTTTTCGGAGCCTCGTCTCTGTGGTGTTGCCGTAGGCCTAGCGGCGTTCGGCCACATTTAGCGGGGGTCGTTTGGTGCTAGGTTTCACCCTCAGCGGTTTGTGCTTGGGTGGTAGTGTGTGGTGTGTGGCAATGCACCTTGGTGCATTTTGATGTTTTTTCTCTTGTAACTTTTATTCCTTCTTAATATACTCGGTTGGCCTCCTTCGGCCTTCCCGGCAAAAAAAAAAACTTACTGTGAGCTTGTCTCTACCAGTATGTTCAAGTTGTGCCATGATGCATCTCCAAGTTCTTGATTCACTGAACTACACATTCTTTTTTGTACAGATAATGAGCAATGGGATTTTTAAGAGCTCGGTGCATAGGGTTATGACAAATCCTGAAAAGGAGAGAATATCAGTGGTGTTGTTTTATTTTATGAATCTTGAGAAAGAGATTGAGCCAGCACTTGAGCTGATCGATGAAAGGCACCCGGCAAGATACAAGAGGGTGAAGATTATGGACTACCTTGCAGGGCTCTTTGAACATTTCTTGCAAGGGACAAGAGTGATTGACACAGTGAAGATCTGAGTCACTATGCCAGTTAAAATAAATAGTGATTGTGATATGTACTCTGTAAAGTTTATCAGAAAAAAAGAACTATTGTAGAGTATGAGTCACATGGTCGCATACTCATGTAATTATGCCATCCAGATCTGTAGCGTTTATCAGAAAAGAAAAATATTATTGTGAGGTTTCATTTTGTGTTTGCTGAGGATGAATGATGAGTTTTGTACTTGTACTACTCCAAACAGTTTGATGAGCTCTGCATGCTAGGTTAAAATTCTAACCTTGTGGAAGATAACTCATTGAAGTACAGTTGGTCAGTGTTATGGGTTGTGACTAATCAACTAACTTTTTTTCTTTGCTTGTTTCTAGATCCTTGGAAAGAAACTGAGCCAGACACAAGACTGCTAGTACTTGATATTTGAGAAGCATCCACCACTTTGCAAGGCAGCAAGAAAGTGAAGGCAAGAATCATTTAGCTGAGCCTTGTGAATTCTAGTACTTCAGTTGGACCATCTAAAAGGCAAGCATAATCATTTGACAGCTTCAGAGTTTTTCAATTTTTCCCTTGATCTACACATCTTGATCTTTTTTTTTTCTTTTAGAAAATAATACATCTTTATCTTCTTTTATTATGTTTGATCTTCTTTTGTTCGATAGGAATTGTGTTCTGTCTATTGATATGAGTGACTAATTGACTTTGTGTTGATTTCGAGCAGAATAGCAGCTCTCTCCAGGTTACTACTCCTGTTACTAACCATTGATAGAAACCGAGAGATAGTTGATCTGGTGCAGATCTTGTGTCACCATATTACACCAGTTGAAATATCTAGAAGGAGATAAGAAAAGGTAAGCAATGGAACTTGTTTTCCCCCATTCAGGCATTCAGAACTCAGGAGTCAGGACTAGCTCACTTCCACAATGTCAAACTACTTGAAATACCAGTCCCTTTCTTCTGCCCAATTCCACAATGTTAAACAGTTTGAATACCTTCGGTTTAATTTCAAAAAATGAATTTGAAGGTTCCCTTTCTTGTGCTCGATTCCACGATGTCAAACAGTTTGAATACCTATCCCTTTATTCAGCTCAATCTACATCTACATCTTATCTACAACGTGTCTTTTATTTCCACCATGTACATTGTGCATCCTTTCTTCTACTGTTGAATAGTAGCTGAGAAGCAGATTCCATTCACGTGCCTAATTTGTCAATCCATTTTCATCCAAGTATATCCAATTCAACATATTTGCAGGCTATAAATGAGTTGAAAGATCTCCTTTTTCTTTTCAGGCAAGAAGAAAATTAAGCAAAGAAAGATCCAAGAACAAGAACACTAATGGCTGACGAGTCATGGAGGACGCCGGCGATAGTGCAAGAGCTGGCGGCGGCCGGCGTCGAGGAGCCACCGAGTCGGTACGTGCTTGGGGAGAAAGACCGTTCTGACGAGCTGGTCGCCGCCGAGCTGCCGGAGCCCATCCCCGTCGTTGATCTCAGCCGGCTAGCCGGCGCCGACGAGGCTGCCAAGCTCAGGGCGGCTCTGCAGAATTGGGGCTTCTTCCTGGTCAGCTACTAACGCAGTGATCCTACTTTGCTTAATAAAAAACTTGCTACTTTGTATCAATTTCTCCAATTTTCCTGGCTGTGTGTGATCCAGCTTACCAACCATGGAGTAGAAACCTCTCTGATGGATGATGTGTTGAACTTGGCAAGAGAGTTCTTCAACCAACCGATCGAACGGAAGCGAAAATTCAGCAACTTGATCGACGGCAAGAACTTCCAGGTGGAAGGGTATGGAACTGACCGGGTGGTAACCCAAGATCAGATCCTGGACTGGTCTGATCGGCTGTTTCTCAGAGTTGAACCCAAGGAGGAGCGAAATCTTGCCTTCTGGCCTGACCATCCTGAATCTTTCAGGTCACCTACTCACCTTACAGTGATCGATGTTTTACTTTCCAGTTTACACACGTCTGAATTTCTTCCTACTCTTTTTTTTTGGTGCAAAAGATGGTGTTTTTATTGTTCATGTATTACTAACAAAGTAACAAGAATTGTTGTCTGAATTCAGAAAGAATAACTTGACGATGTATCGAGAAATGGTTTTACTGAGCTATTAGAGAGCCTTTTCTTCTGCAGGGATGTTCTGAACGAGTACGCATCAAGAACCAAAAGAATAAGAGACGATATCGTTCAGGCTATGTCCAAGCTTCTTGGGCTTGATGAGGATTACTTCTTCGACCGACTCAACAAAGCTCCTGCACTTGCAAGATTCAACTACTACCCTCCCTGTCCAAGGCCTGACCTTGTGTTCGGCGTCAGGCCTCACTCCGACGGCTCCCTCTTTACGATTCTTCTCGTCGACGAAGATGTCGGTGGCCTGCAAATTCAGAGGGATGGCAAGTGGTACAATGTTCAGGTCACTCCCAACACATTGCTGATCAACTTAGGTGACACCATGGAGGTAATTGGCATCTAGCATCCAAAACACTTTCTCTCTGAATCTGCAGAGACATCTGTAATATGATGATAAACCCAGGTTTCTGAATCCTGATGCATATTTGGATGCAAAATTTATGTGCAGGTATTGTGCAATGGCATCTTCAGGAGCCCAGTGCACAGGGTGGTGACAAACGCCGAGAGGGAGAGGATCTCACTGGCCATGTTTTACAGTGTGAATGATGAGAAAGATATTGGGCCGGCGGCTGGTTTGCTGGATGAGAATCGGCCTGCAAGATACAGGAAAGTGAGCGTCGGAGAGTTCAGGGCTGGGATCATTGGAAAATTCTCTCGACGAGAGAGATACATCGACTCCCTGAAGATCTGATTTGTACTAGTAGCATGATTGTTGCAAGCTCAGCAGCTTTCAGTAGCAAGTATTCCTGGGAAAATAAATATGTTTTTTTCCTTGAGGGAATTGCTAAAAGCATGTCGCAAGTTTTTTTTAACAAAAAACTTTCAAATGTAACTATAATATTATTAATGGTATTGTAATTAGACATTATTAATATTATAGTGTTATTATATTGTAATTATTGTATAATTGTAATGTAATTACACTATTAACTACATTGGATATGTTTTTTTTCCTACTTTTATCGATATAGCCATATTAGTACCAGTACTCTCACAAGAAAATTTTAATGCTTGCTTTAAGAAAGATAATTAGAATGTAAATAATGAGGGTAGCAATGTATTTTGCCGTGATTCCTAGTTTAGCTTTGAGTTTTTGTTGTAATGTTTGATCATTCGTCTTATTCAAAAAAATTATGGAATTATTATTTATTTTGTTTGTGACTTGCTTTATTATCAAAAGTACTTTAATGACTTATCATGTTTTACATTTGCACTAATTTTTCAAATAAGACGAATAGTCAAACGTTGCAAAAAAAAAAGTTAAAGCGACTACTAATTTAGGACGGAGGTAGTAAGTAAAATAAAATTGGGAGGGGGGAGTAATTGTTGCATGTCTCTGCAAAATCTCCCCGCTGATAATGGGTGTGTTCGAAAGAGATTTTTATAATGGGTGTGTTCGAAAGAGATTTTTTGGCAGCAGCTACGGCTGCACGCAGCACGCTACAGCGATTTTCAACTGCTGCAGCCACAGCAGCTGCAGCAAAACTGGCTGCCGAACAAGGCCAATGGGCTCGGCAGACAAACATTTGACAGTGATGTAAAGCTCAACGACCCATACCATATTACTGCCGGAGTGTCTTTTTCTTATGCTTATGCTTATGCTTATTAGCCAAATTTTAAATTTTTCAATCTTAAATTGGAGTTGATTTTGAGGTTTTTTATTGAAGTTTATTTTTCAACCTTTGCTTTTATTTTAGATTGTTAAAAATACATATATAAAAGTTTTATTCACAAATTACTATTCGTTTGCAAATATACCGTTTCGCTTATTCGATGGGTCCGTTCCTGTGTCTATCATGACAAGGACCGTGTGTTTGATCCTCTCTGACTAATGAGTGGCACTACCATGTCTTCCCACATCCCTGACCTACCAACTTGTTTACATAAAATCTTTCATCTTGACTAAACCCTGACCAATTTCACTCTGTCATCATCCATGGCCACAAAACAATGCCGAAATAAGATAAAAACCGGCTGGCTAGGAATCACCTGACTGAACAGAAGCACTGCGCGTTCAGACAACCATGGCTGACGGCCACCACTGGAACATTGTCAAGATACCGCCGATTGTGCAGGAGCTCGCCGCCGGCGTCCATGAGCCGCCGAGCCAGTACATGGTCGGCGAGAAAGACCGCCCTGCCATCGCCGGCTCCGACATGCCTGAGCCCATCCCCGTCGTCGACCTCAGCCGGCTGTCTGCCTCCAATGGTGAAGACAGCGCCGGCGAGCTTGCCAAGCTACGCTCCGCCTTAGAGGACTGGGGCCTCTTCCTGGTAAATAAAAGTACCACTGCATTCGTTTCATATTATAAGTTATTTTGACTTTAGTTAAAGTCAAACTGTTCCAAATTTGATTAAATTTATAGACAATTTTGGTAATATTATAACATCAAATTATTTTCATTAAATCTATAATTGAATATATTTTTATAATATAGTTATCTTGTGTTGAATATATTACTATTTTTTTCTACAAATTTAGTTTAATTTGGAGTACGTTTTTCTTTAACCAAAGTCAAAATGACTTATAATCTGAAACGGATTGAGTATTACTTTTTTTTTTTGGGTACCTATGGTACTATAAGGTGCAGGGTTATTTGGTACTATAATGGAGGGGAGCATTCTCAGTGAGATGATCAATGTGACAAGAGGATTCTACAAGCTCCCACTGGAAGAGAAGCAGAAGTACTCCAACCTGGTGAACGGCAAGGATTTCAGGATCGAAGGGTACGGCAACGACATGGTCGTGTCAGAGAAACAGATCCTGAACTGGTGCGACCGGTTCTACCACATCGTTGAGCCTGAGTCCCGGATAGCCCATAGCCTCTGGCCAACACAGCCTCCTTCTTTCAGGCACTGAATCTTCCTAACCTTGATTAATCCATTGTTCACTCTGCAATCTACACGCATGATTAAGAACTTAAAATCTGTCAAGTTCTGCCAGTACATTTGTCTGAAATTTCCTGTTTCTTTTATACAGAGATGTTCTGCATGAGTACACTATGAGGTGCAGGGAGATCACCAGCCTTGTGCTCGCCAGATTGGCCAGGCTGCTCGGCCTGCGAGAGGGCTACTTCGTCGACATGTTCGACGAGGACGCCACGACGTACGCGAGGTTCAACTACTACCCTCGCTGCCTGAGGCCGGAGGATGTGTTGGGCCTGAAGCCACACTCCGACGGCTCGGTGATCACCGTCGTCTCCGTCGACGACACCGTCAGTGGGCTTCAGGTGCTGAGGCAAGGCGTCTGGTACGATGTGCCCGTCGTCCCCAATGCTCTGCTCATCAACATGGGGGATGGAATGGAGGTATATATACATTTACTCCATCCGTTTCACAATGTAAAACTTTCTAGCATTGCGCACATATATCTAGACATATGTATGTATTTAGATTCATTAACATCTATATGTATGTGGGCAATGCTAGAAAGTCTTACATTGTGAAACGGAGGGAGTACTTGTTAGTGGTTGTTTATCCAAGGATACTGCACCCATGTAACCCAAACCAAAATATTACGGTGTTCCAAAAGTATTCTACCATGATTCCTAAAGTATATCATGATTCCTTTTATCTTCTCCTGAAGAAATCTTTGGAGGGATCAGAGATTTGGGAGATCTGAACAACAATCTGAATTGCACGTAAAGTAGACCTGTAAAGCTTCAATTTTGAGTACATCATCATTTACACGTCTGATTATATTTGATCTTTTAGGGAATTAGTCCGACTAAGTAGCAGAGGTCGGAGATGTAAATCATTTCCATTATCTAAAAAGATATGACTAACAGACACCTATTCTGGGATGCAGATAATGAGCAATGGGTTGTTAAAGAGCCCGGTGCATAGGGTGGTGACGAACGCCGAGAGGGAGCGAGTGTCGGTGGTGATGTTCTACGCGCTGGATCCGGAGAAGGAGCTGGAGCCGGCGCCGGAGCTGGTGGACGATGAGAAGAGGCCGAGGCAGTATGCCAAGATGAAGATCAAGGACTACTTAAGTGGCTTCTACGAGACTTTTGCAAGAGGGACACGAGTCATCGACACTGTCAAGATGTCAGAATGAGATTGTTGTCGTAACGGTGTTGGATCGGTGGAATATAGCTTTCTAATAACTAGATGAAACCCCGAGCTTCGTTGCGGGCACATTTGAGAACATATGTAAATATGCATATTAGTATGAACAATTAGATTGTATTGTTTGAACCTAAAAACAAAATACATACCGAGCAAGTTAAGCTGCTTCTCGCTATGTCAGGACAGCTATATAGCAATCCTTTGTATCATTCCTAATTGTTCAAATAAATTAAAGTGATATGACATATAAGTATTGGCTGCAAGCATGATGAATCTTTTCTTAAGAAACTAAGACAACAGTAAATGTATAGGATAGTGATTCTTTCTTCAAGTTTAGAGAAACCAATTGACAAAACTTTCATAGTGCTCCTGCTTGGTTCAAATTAATCATAATGTATACTCAAATAGAATCCGGTCAAAATAACTGTTAAATTCAGGCTTACCAAATAAAATCGAACGTATGATGAAAAGATTCATGCAAAGGGGAAGAGACTTGGTTATAGTGGGGATTGTAAAGGGGCTTATTAAAAGGTTTGGAAGAGAATCGCAAGAGGCACATGAATCGTATTAACCATCGCACCTCATGTCCCAATTGATTTGGCGGTTTCTGCTGTAAATTAATGCATGTGATTAAGGGAGGGGAAGGGGAAGGAGCAAGGTGATTACCATGCATGCTGGGCAAAAAGATGAGGGATCCAATGGTGTAAATCTGATTTACATATTGATCGAACAGCTAATATAATGTTGATGATGTGGCGAATTGAGGAGGCAGCTTTGGGTTTTAACTTTATAGAAAGAAGGGGTAATGGAACTTGGTATGTTTAAACATGTTTTGATTTGGAATATAGTTTTTTAAGGATCTGTTTGTCACAGCTCCAATTCCAGCTCCAATTCCGGATTTCGGTGGGTTTGTGGGGGGATTTTGTGGGATTTGGGGTTTTTGTTGTGGTTTTGGTGGAACTGATGAGTGGTGATTGCTTTTGGGGGTGTAGATGTGGAGATGAAGGAGCCTAGCGTGGCGACGATACTGACGAGCTTCGAGAACTCGTTCGATGGGTTCGGGTCTATGAGCACGCCGCTGTACCAGACGGCCACGTTTAAGCAGGTAATTAGGGATAGAAATGGTGGCAGCCAGTGAGGATTATACCTCCGCAACTGTTCTGTCAATGTAGTGATACACTTACAATTGCTGTTTTGTAATCGCATTGCTTGGCTGTACGGTTGCTTGGTATGCATGTTAATGCTTGTGATGAGGTTGCGGTAATGTCTTTTTTTTTTCGTGAACATGCAAAAAGGATTGCACGTCAATATATTAGACGAAGAGTTGCGGTAATGTCTGAATAGCTGATGATTCGTATTAGGTGGTGTGTAAGGATTCAACATTTTAGGATTCTAGTTTTCATTTTGAAATGTTTGGAGAAGGATATGGATAGTCAGTCAGGCAGTTATGGGGAAATTGGCAGCAGGCAACTGTTTTGAACTTATCTATTTTGGAAGACAAATCCAATTTCGTGGAAATGTGAATAGTTCAATGCACCTATTTGTTGATGTGTGCGAATGCTGGCCATACAAAATTGGTTTTCTGATTTTGTAGTTTTTTAGACCCTTTGAGTCCGTTGTAATTATCAAATTACGGCATCTTGATTTGTTTATTGTGCCATTTTGTCCTGGCTGTCCTTAAGCATACCACTGTAATGCAACTATTGAATGTTTGGATAGATAATCACATGAACTAGTGGATTTTCCCGCGCAAATTGCGCAGAGCTAGATTTCAGAAGCAAAATAGGATCCAATATGCAAATTTTAGCTTCTATTTCTATTGACACCATTGTACTTTATATACAATAGATTTTAAAGATAGAATTCTATTTCTTTCTATAGATATAATTGTTCTTAATACAATTATATCAATCAATCTCCACTGTTATGATTTGGACCCACCATGATCTAACAGTGTAAATATTTTTCTTTTTCTCCGTTTAATGTGTTAATTTTTGGGCCTCCAAAATGAACGTGGTGCTTTCTTTTTTATCTTTCTTGATAATGTAAATGATTCTTAATTGATCTAATGATCTCTATTCTCTAGTTATACAAGAATCATGACATGCAGCTAAGAATGATAAAAAGTGTGGGAATATCTGCAATTCAATTTGGTTGTGAAGAACTAAATTATACCTTTTAAGTTTATGGTGGTTCATAATTTGCACTTTGTCTTGTCTATTTCCAAGTACACTTACTCCTGCAAGTTAATTTGCAGCCTTCAGCAACCGATAATGGACCTTATGATTACACTAGAAGTGGTAACCCTACACGTGATGTTCTCCAAAGGTTAGGTCAATTTCTCATCCGTTTTTTACTCTGTGGTGAAAAAAAATGCATTTCTTGATTGTTTCATGATTTTGAGGACATATTCAGCCTTATGGCTAAGCTTGAGAAGGCGGATCAGGCATTCTGCTTCACCAGTGGGATGGCAGCACTAGCTGCAGTAACACACCTCCTTAAGTCTGGTATTGTTATGTTTTTTGCTGTTCCATATTTCTCATGTTCTTGCCATGGAATCCTGTATGCATTTGTGAATATAATTATTTGTCAAACCTATGATTCTCAGGACAAGAAATAGTTGCTGGAGAGGACATATATGGTGGCTCAGACCGTCTGCTCTCACAAGTTGCCCCGAGACATGGGATTGTAGTAAAGTTAGTGTTATCTCCATATTTTTAGTAAGATTATATTTTGTTGTTGCCTCTTTATTCTCACTTACAAGCGTTATATGATTTTTTTTCTTGTGACAGACGAATTGATACAACCAAAATTAGTGAGGTAACTTCTGCAATTGGGCCCTTGACTAAACTAGTATGGCTTGAAAGTCCCACCAATCCCCGTCTACAAATTACTGATATAAAGGTAAGATTTGGTCGATGTATGTGGTGGTCATGAAGCGTATATCTAGATTTTTATTTCATCCAGATGTTTTTCGCCTTGGTTTTAAGGTAGTATTCTTATTCCTTCCACTGTTTTTGTTGCTTCACAGAAAATAGCAGAGATAGCTCATTACCATGGTGCTCTTGTTTTAGTAGACAACAGCATCATGTCTCCTGTGCTCTCCCGTCCTCTAGAACTTGGAGCAGGTATATAATTGTATATTTACTTATCTAGAACAACAGGTTTCCATTTCAAGCATCCTTGCATCCCCATAGGACAACAGAGTTTCATCTATAATTCTCTTGTTCCTCTGCAGATATTGTTATGCACTCAGCAACCAAATTTATAGCTGGACATAGCGATCTTATGGCTGGAATTCTTGCGGTGAAGGGTGAAAGGTGTGCTCTAAATTCTTCATTCAACGATTATATTGACTCTTTTGCAATTTCTCCATTTCATCTATCCCATTTCATGTCTATAAGCTGTTCAATATTATGTTGGTGTCTGGTGGCAAACAGTACTTCAGTTCTCACTACCCTCCTTTTCTACTTTTCTTGAAATGGACCTCACTTTACACTTCTCCTATCTATTGCTGGTGGCATGAATAGGCATGAATATCCAGGGTGGATGCTAATGGGCAATTCCTTTCTCTTTTGTTTTTCTTGCTGAATACATCTACTCAATATTCCTTGAAGTTGGTAGACTTTTAAAAATTGAAGCTGATGGAAACTGTGATGTAATACCTGTTTCATTTGTCAGCAGCTTGGCTAAAGAGATTGCATTTCTACAAAATGCTGAAGGATCAGGTTTGGCACCATTTGATTGCTGGCTTTGTTTGAGAGGAATCAAAACCATGGCTTTGCGGGTGGAGAAGCAGCAGGTGTAACTTCTTTCATGTGCCATAACATGTATTTCAATATACATATCGAGTATCAACAAAATTTATAAGACTTTGTAGTCTGCCTTCTGTTAATTATATTTCTGTTTCCAAAATCCTTATGTTTACATATGCATTAATGTGATCTATTCAACTGAAGAGACGGACCACCCCTATATTATTGGCAGGCTAATGCTCAGAAGATTGCTGAATTTCTAGCTTCTCATCCAAGAGTAAAGAAAGTGAACTATGCAGGACTTCCTGATCATCCTGGACGATCTCTACACTATTCCCAGGTTGTTTTTTGGAGTAGTTTTCAAATTGCCTTACATTAAGTGGCTTTAGATAGTTATCTATTTAGGATATTTCCTTGGATTGACATCTTGGAACTGGATTCAGAACATCCTAATAACTTTTGATTGTAACATTTCCCTTTCCTTTTGCAGGCAAAGGGAGCGGGTTCAGTTCTCAGTTTCCTAACTGGTTCATTAGCTCTCTCAAAACATGTTGTTGAGACCACAAAGTACTTCAATGTAACAGTTAGCTTTGGTGAGCATTCAGACAAACCCATATTTCTGCTTCTCTCAATGTTCTGCTGTCATACATCATCAGGAGTCATTGTTTTTAAGAAACCATGATGAAACTGCGCCAATATAACCGATCCAGTCATTTCTTATCAAAGTTTTCAGTTCCTGCTTGCTAATCCAAATTAAAACTAAATGCAGGAAGTGTGAAATCGCTCATTAGCCTGCCATGCTTCATGTCACACGCCAGCATCCCTTCTGCGGTTCGCGAGGAGCGCGGCCTGACAGACGATCTAGTCAGGATATCGGTTGGAATTGAGGATGCCGACGACCTCATAGCGGATCTTGATCATGCTCTCCGGTCTGGTCCAGCTTAGAGCCTGTGAATTCTGTGCCCTTCCTGTTCGTTAGGGATGTAGATGTGGTCATGTGGGTGCTATCTGTGTGGGTGATTGATTCATTGGTCAACTCAATAAGCTGCTGTGTCATCGAGGGAATAAAGACAATCTATCCCAAATTTTTTAACACCATATGGTGACCAACTGACCATGATATGGTCTTAATCAATTGATATTTATAGAAGGTTTCTTTGAACTGCAATTTTGCAACCACTGACAGTGATGCAAGGATTGAAAGAACAGTGTTTGTACATACCATTGGATGTTAGCCTCTTACCTTGCACGCAACTTGTTTGTCTACATTGCATATTTGCATGTGAGCTTTGGTCAACCTTGTTGAGTTGTTTGTGAGGCAACAAGGGATTTCACAAATATGTTAACAATCCTAAGAAGTGAGAACTCTAATGCTAGGTTTGGAATACAAGAACTATGCAGAAATTCATAGGGAACTGACTGTAATTCCCACGCGAATCAATGCCAAGTTCCAAGTGGTAAGGTGTCTTAGGTGACCAAGTTTATGAAAAAAGAT